AAGGTGGCTAGGGAGATAGTCTAAATAAATGGGTGATGGGTATTAAGGAGGGCACTTGTTGTGATGAGCACTGTGTGTTATATGTAAGTGATGAATCATTAAATTCTACTCCTGAAACCAATATTACACTATTACTAACTAGAATTTAAATAAAAACTTGAAACATAAAAAAATTATATAGTGTTCTAGCTATAATAAACAGTAAGCTGGAGAGGCTATAATAATATCTGGAAAAGTAAGAGCAAAGAATATTACCAGGAATACAGAAAGTGATTTCCTAATGATAAAGTCAAGTCATCAATTCATCAAGAAGACATAAAAACCCTAAACATTTATGTATTTAATTAAAGAGTTACAAAATACATGAAGTAAAAACTGAAAGAACTACAAGAACAAATAAACTAATTCACAATTACAGTTATAGATTTCAACACTCATTTCTCAAATTGAAAGAATATCAATGAGAACATTAGAAGACGTAAAAAACCATCAACCAACTTGACCTAATTCACATTTGTAGAACACTCCACCCAATGACAGCAAAATGTACCTTTTTTTGCAAGTGTCCAAGGAACATTTACCAAAATAGATCATATACTGGGTGCTATGGTCTGAATGTTTATGCCCCTGCCCCCAAATTCATATGCTGAAATGCTAACTCCTAAAGGCAACGGTATTAATAGGCAAAACCCTTGGGAGGTGAATAGGTCACAAGGGTGGATCCCTCATGAAAGGGATTAGTGCTACTACAAAAAAGGTCCCACAGAGTTCCCTATCCTCTTCCACCATGTGAGGATACAGTGAGAAGGTGCTACTTTATGAATGAGAAAGAGGATACCTGACTATGCTGGTGCCTTGATAGTGATTTTCCAGCCTCTACAATGGTGAGCAAAAAGTTCTATTGTTTATAAGCTACCCAGTCAGTGTTATTTTGTTATGATAGCCCAATGTACTAAAACACCAGATTTATTCATTTTCTATTGCTGTGGCAACCAACTACCATGACCTTAGTGGCTTAAATAACAACACAAATTTACTATCACAGTTCTGTATGTTAGAAATCTGACATATTTACTCCTACAGTTCTGTTGTGAGCAGTCTGATAGAGGTTTCAATGGACTAAAATCAAGGTATTGGCAGGGCTGTGTTTTTTTTGTTTTTTTTTTTAGAGGCTCTAAAGAAGAATCTGTTTCCTCCACTTTTCCAGCTTCTAGATGCCCCTTTCTCCCATATTCAAAGCTAGCAATTTGCTTCTCTCTAACTCTTCTTCTGTATGCACATCTCTCTCTAACCCTGACTTCAGGCAGCAAACGCTACTTTAAGACCCAGCTAATTAGGTTGAGTCTACTTAGCAATCCTGGATAAGCATCTTAACACCCTAAACTTAATCACATGTTCACACTCCCCTTTTTCATGTAAGATAATATATTCACGGGCACCAGGACTTCTGTGGAGTCATTATTCTGCAAAACACACTGGGTCATAAAATAAGTCTCACTAAATTTAAGGAATTTAAATCATTCAAAATATTTTTTGTGACGATAAAGTTAAATTAGAAATACATTACAGAAACATTTTTAGACATTTTCCAAAGCGCTGTAAATAAAATATGCCACTTCTAAATACTCAACTGACAATGGAGGAAATCAAAAAGGAAATTGGAAAGTATTCACCTTAAGAAACCAGAAAAAGAAGAGCAAATTAATGTCGAAGTAAGCAAAAGAAAGGGAATAAAGAGAAGAAATTAATGAAATGGAAAAAATAGAGAAAATGAATGAACCATTTGTTTCTCAAAGAAAAATTAATGAAACTGATAACTCTCCAGCTGATCAAGGAAAAAAAGAGAGAGAAAGAAAGGAGAAATAAATTATGAATATCAGAAATAAGAGTGATGATATCTACTGGATAACATGTAAATATTATTAATAATCTTTTGCCAGTAAATTCTACAAGTTAAATCAAATGGAAGAAATATAACTGTGAAACACAAACTGATAGAACTCATTCAAGAAGAAATAGAAAACACAAACCTCTAAATCTTATTAAAGACATTGAAATTTTAGTTGAAACCTTCCCACAAAGAAACCTGGAAGTCCAAATACATTCAATGTTGAATTCTACCACAAATTTAAGAAAAAATAATATCAATTCCACACAAATCTTTCAGAAAATTAAAAGGAAATGTTTTCCAATTCATTTTATAAGGCCAGCAGTACCATGATACAAAGTCAAACAAGATTACAACAAATAGAAGACTATAGACTAATACCTCTCATAAGCATAGGTATAGAAATTCTTAACAAAATTTTAACAAATCAAATCCAACAATACATAAAAAACTAATACAAATGACCAACTGGAGCTTACCCCTGTATAACAAGGTTGATTAAGCATTCAAAAGCATTAAAAAATCAGGGTATTTCAATTCTATTAGCAAATAAATCTAAAATAGTAAAGTTATTTTACAATCCTATAAACAAACACACATACTCATGTGCTTTAATATAACATATTTCTCAGAACTAATATAATTATTTTAATCAAAAAGTAGGAATTAGGCTCTACCTATCTTAACCATCAGTTACTTTCTAAATTTTATTATTTGGGGAGAGTAGAATATTTCAACTTTATTACACAAATTCTGGTGTGGCTTCTAGAACATATTGCTAGTATGTTCTCAAAAGAAAATTCAATTTAAAATTTAATTTTTAACCATTAAATATTCATTAACATTCTATAGTAATGATGTAATTTGCTTAAAAATAAATAATTAGATAACCACACATGAAGGACATGAAAAAACTTAAAATGTAGCAATTATATCAATTTTAATCACTACTTAATATGATCAATAGATGAACCCTTTTGTTGCCTTTAATCATAATTTGAATATACCAAGTGAAATCTGATTCATATTTCTGTATAAATCCTAGAAAATAAAATGATGCATCCAACATCCTCAAGGTCAAAATATTTCCAGCATCTTCTGACCATAATAGCATCTAAATCAATCACTATACAATGAAGAAATAAAAATATCAAAATAATTCTCATTACTGAGTAGTGATTATATTTCTTAGTTAATTAACTTCCTTAATTTAGATGCTGAATTAGCCTTACAAATAAAAATAATTTTCCCATAAATATATGATTTTTAAAAATCACTATCTTCCCACAAATCACATAGAAATTAAATAATTTCTAGTCATAGATCATAAGCTGTCATTAATATGAAAGGGGAAAGAATAATCTGTACACTTTTTAAAGATTTTTTTTAAAGATTTTATTTATTTATTTGAGAGCAGGAGAGAGAGAGAGAGAGAGAATGAGATGGAGGGAGAGGGAGAAGACTCCCCACTGAGAAGGAAGCCTGACACGGGGCTCGATCCCAGGACCCAGAAATCATGACCCAAGCCGAAGGCAGACACTTAACTGACAGCCACCCAGGCACCCCTTAAAGATTTTAAAACATAATGACCTAGCACAGGGCTTGGTACATAGGAGATTTCCATAAACTAATTTGAATTCAATCTAATCAAATAATCAGTCATAAAAGAATGAATATATGAACAAATGCCAACATTACAACATACAGGCTTTTCTTTCATAAAAGCATAAATTAAGAACACAAACCCTGACTAATTCAAGATAGAAAGAACATCCTAAATGTTTCCTAGTAGTAAATCTAAAGCCTTTAGCAGCCTATCACTAAACACAATAAAAAACGAAATATACTTTAATAAAAAAAGGAAAGAAATATACAACATCTATATGTAGCACAAAGAAATCAACAGTGAGAGGTAGTGGGTCTTAAAGAACTGTTAAGTACTGCTTACCCTAAATTTTTAATGAAGTTTAAATTATGTTCAATATATAATAAAAGAAAAATGAGATTCTAAACAAAGCAAATAATTTCAAGTAAAGCTGTAAGAACAGAGTATCTAACCCTCAGATGAAGTATACAGTTGATCAGAAAACCCAAACAATCTGGTTATCTGAAGTTTTGATGCATTTCTTAGAATATAATTTCATTAAAAAATTACATTTTTTGATTGATTCAATATCATTAGTATGAACATTTTTAATAAAGACATTCATTATCATTGCTGCTCGTGATCAGGGGACCACACTTCGAGGACCACTAAACTAGAAATACAAGTCAATCGAGTTTCACAAACTGAATGTAGGACAGATAATCTGTTGGCTGTGTGACTGACAGTTTTCACTGTTGGGCCATAGGGAAATGAAGTGTTAAAGCAGCAAGTGTGTCCCCCTCCACTAGATTTTGCCGGAAAAAAGGAAAATTAAAGGAGAAAGGGAGAAACATGCTGCCTGGATCAGGGGGCAGCTGTGATATTTTAAACCTGGAATCTGGTTGTGTCATCCTTTGGAGTCCCGGGGGAATACTCAAGCACATTTTTCCATGGCTCTCATAACTATGAGAGGAGTCAAAACCTGGGCATAGAGACTGAGAAGATCTGCTGTCCAGTGCAAAGCCCAGTCCCAAGAAATAACCAGTTTTCACCCCTTTCCTGGATACCAGGCCTCAAACTTACCACCTGTACTTTAATCAGGCTAAAGCCCTCCCTTTGAGCTAATATCACAAAGGAGAAAGCCATCTACTTTTGACCTATCTTCTATCTATGCTGGATCTTAAACTTCAAGACCACATAGATAAACCTTCTGAACTTGGATTCTGTTCTCCTAGTCTTCTCAGTCAGAGTATAAACTAGGCGAAATAATATTGCCCCTCTGGCACTCCATTCTTACCCAAAAAGAAAACTGTAATTAACATTAAACCAATAGATTTTGAACAGTCAAAAAATAAACAACACATTCATCATTAGACATTCAATGTACCCTTTTTATCAAGGATCAATACGTTTCATGTTGTTCAAAACATAGAAATCTTATCCATATCATTACTTCAAACAAAAACAGCATGGTTTTTGTTAAGAAAATACTCAATGGTCATTATGTTAAACACTATTAACACTTACCTGTATTTTAATAGGCCAGGAAAAGTTGCTGACGTACACATAGAATGTGATGTTAGGATTGCTTCTAAAGTTAAATTTTTCATAGGAAAAACTATCTCTGTATTCCTTTATATTAGTTTTGGAAACTATAGGAGTCTCCTCCCCGGATACTGTTCCAGCTAAAATGTAAATAATAATAACAAATTTTTAAAACTCCTATTAGGAAAAAAGGATCTTTTTGAACTTAAAAATATATATTATATTTACTTAATTTTTAGAACTGTACGTATAAAAACATAATTATCAAAATAAACTTGTTCACTATTTAGAGTAACAAAGGAGAAATAAAATTCACATTAAAATTAATGGAAATAGTATAAAAATTATTTTTTTTAAATGATACCACTCGGGGCGCCTGGATGGCTCAGTTGGTTAAGCGACTGCCTTCGGCTCAGGTCATGATCCTGGAGTCCCAGGATCGAATCCTGCATCGGGCTCCCTGCTCAGTGGGAAGCCTGCTTCTCCCTCTGACCCTCCCCCCTCTCATGCTCTCTCTCTCTCATTCTCTCTCTCAAATAAATAATAAATAAATAAATAAATCTTAAATGATACCACTGATTAAGTGCTATGTACTAGTCACTGGTGTAGAGATTTTATATTCTTTTCTAGTAACAGTTTTATCCCAGAGGTATTCCATCTATATTTTTCAAATTGAAACCTGACCCTCAGAAAGATTAAAACACTTGCCTTAAGTTTATAGCTACTGAATAGTAAATTCCACTTTGGAACTCAGGTATATATTAGCTCCAAACACTGAGTTCCTTCTATTTACTACTCCACAGAGCCTCTCAAAACAAATCAGGACATATTTCACATGTCTCAATCCAATTAAAAAATGGAAAAGGAATCAATTTATTTGTCTTAACCACAAATTGAACCATCACTACTTTGAATAAATTGAAAGGTTTAACTAATTAAATGTTTAATTAGTTAAACACATATTGCATACTCAATAAATATTTACTGAAATTGACCAACTGGAACAAAACATTTCCAACAATCTTACTAAGCCTTCCACCTTAAAAAACAGTAAAAATATTTAGAATTAGTACACTGAGCAACTGAATTAATTTCTAACTCATCACCTATTCCAAAATTACATGGGATGCTGTTTTAAAAGGCAGACTTCCTGACCCCATCTCCTAACCTGATAAATCAAAATTTCTGAGATTTAGGGTTATGGGAATCTAAAAGTTACAAGCAATTTCTTCCATTAAAAAAAAAATCACCATTCTAAACTAATTACAAAGGTTTTATTTATTTTTGTTAACAAATTTTAAAAATCTTCTAGAGTCAATTTATTGTGACAAAGTAAAATTCAAATTAATAGTACAAGTTTTCATGAATTCCTTTCTTTAAAATGATTTTATTTTTAAGTAATCTCTACACCCAACATGGGAATCAAACTTACAACCCTAAGATCAAAAAATAAATATTCTACCAACTGAGCCAACCCAGTATTCCATCATGAATTCTTAATTAATGAAGCTCAAAATGCCAAGATTTTACTATATGTTTGGCACCATAGTAACAAACTATATAGTTGCCCAAACTTCTCATTTTTTAACACATGGAATATAGGTTCTAGAACTGCAAAGACCTCATCATTCTTGAATTCTACATGTCCCCGATTCTACATATTAAAATGGCATAATGACTTGAATTTCAGAAATCAAATATGGATGTCTAAGAATCCACATATTTTCTTTAAAGAAGATTCCAACACTTTTACGCAAAAGTATATCTTTGATATAGAAAATAAAAACCAACAGAATTTCCTAAGATGTAAATACAAAAATGTGAGCACACTTTTTCATAATCCAACATAGTTTACTTTAATCTTGGTTACATTTTTTAAAAGTCAAAAACTTCAACTTAAAAACCTTATTACGGAAGACATATTAAGTATAGGGGTTTTTTCCAACCTTCTCTCAGCACTGAAGCTGACAAAGGGAATAGTATATTTCTAAGCTTGAAAGTAATAGAAAACATGTTAATTTATCAGCATGCACAAAATTTCATTGTTTTCTATCAATATTAAGGTTAATAATTAAATTTATAGCTTCAATAGTGAATCAAATAACTGAAATCTCAGTCCCTAGTCATTAAAGAAGTAATATCTTAATTAAAATCATAGCAATACATAACACTACCATTTTAAAAAATTATGTGGTGTACAGTATTTGTTATGCATCTAATTTTAATTGAATAAGGGACAAAGTTGACAAAGGAATGAAACTTTATTAACAATGCTACTTATTATTTTTACCTGAATCAGCACAATGACATTTTTTTAAAATTTCAATATTTGAATTAACAATAAAAGGCCATGTGAGAACACATTCCATAAACAAACATGTGAAAGACACGCGACAACAAAATCCTCTTACCTGTTGAACCAACTGACCATGTAATGTTGAGATTAAAGTTGTTTGATGCATTAATCGAAATATCCAAATTTTTGTTTGACTACCAAGAAAGAAAATATTCGGGTTAAAAAATCAAATTACACTAAATAATGTTTTGTGTTTTAATTATGCCCATGCTATATTTCACAGACTCTATACATTTTGTCAATATTCAACTAGGTGTAGATGTCAGTTATATTTTTTTAATGAAAACATATAGGTGATAAATTCAAAGCTGGTTTAAAGTTCCCATTTATCCTCCCTACTATAATCCAGCCTTCTGTATGTAAACCAGAGGCTGCTGTAATTCATTATTTGTATTTTGATTCTCTTTGCTTACCTGTAGTTAACAGTTAAATGATACAGGTTTAGGTTAGTCCAAAGTAATTTTATAGCAATGTGAGATTATTGTTTTGTTGAAAGATTTCTTCTTAGGTGCATATAGTATTATTATACAAACATATCTGTATTGAAAAAATATATATATATGATACATAAACTAGAACTCTCAGGTAAAAATGGGTTAGAATTAAATCTACTGTCAAAATGTAGGAAATGTATAAATAATTAAGGTACTTATTTATTATTTTTTTTATGTAGGATAAGTAGGAAGCCCTGATCACTAATCTATATTAATTTCAGTAACTGTTCCAAGTTGAATTTATTTTAGTTATAAATTATATTTATATAACTAGATATAATGTTGTTACAAGCATTCTCAGTGGCACCTCTCATGATAGTTTAGCATCCTACACTTCCAAAGAAAATGTGTGTGTGTGGCCGTGGAAGATGGAAGAGGATTACCGACCCTATTTGAAACGGTCCCCAGAATTGAGCTGGATATCTACCAAACCACTCTGAACACCCAAAAATCAGCCTGAGATGTAAGAAGATAGATCTGGATCTCTACAAACAGAAAATTGCAGGTGGTTGGTTTTGAGGTACGAAGCGGGGAGACGTGATTCCATGGGCAGATATGGGAGGATAAATGGCAGCGGGAGGGAGCCTGGCTATGGGGATCCTACACCACCTGCAAGTGACAGCCTCCTGCACTGGGGACTTGGCACAGACTCACAGACCGGTAGCGGTGGGGAAGGGACTTTAGGGCAGCCCCCTGGAGGGAAACCCAGAGTGGCAGGGCCGCACGTGCAAACTGGGGGCAGCTGGAGGTTTTAGAAGCATAAAGGGCAGAGACATGCCCCCACCTGGAGGTGAGGACTGGGAGCGCTGCTGACGGGCGCACAACCCAGGACCCTGCTGTTTATAGCACCACAGACAGAAACGGAGATAGTGTGTCCTGGAGAGCTCACTGAAGAACAGACTGCAATCTCTCTGCTCTGAGGCAGAGGGTTGGAAACGGTCTCTTCTGCTCTGACTCTGGGAAGAGACATGGCTCTGACAGGGAGAGCCGCCAGAGAACAAAAGCCCCCAAAAAACGATTTCCACTGAGCCCATCCTCCGCCACAGGGGGCAGGACAACTCTGCCCAAACAGGGTTGCCTGAGTAACAGCACTGCAGGCCCCTCCCCCAGAAGACAGGATGGGAAAACAAGAGGCCAGCAATCCTAAGGTCCCTAGAAAACAGGTGCATCATGCTTGGTTTGTGGTCAATAATTTGGACTCTATACATTCCCTCAAACACCCCTCAACAGAATGACTAGGAGGAAGAACCCCCAAAATAGGAAAGACTCAGAGACTATGACTTTTGCCACAGATTTACAAATGGATTCAGATACAACCAAGATATCGGAGATGGAATTCAGGCTAGCAATTATGAAGACAATAGCTAGAATGGAGAAATCAATTAATGGCAACATAGAGTCTCTAAGGGCAGAAATGAAAGCTGAATTGGCAGAATTTAAAAATGCTATCAATGAGATCCAATCTAATCTAGATAATCTAACAGCTAGGGTAAGCGAGTCAGAAGAATGAATTAGTAACCTCGAAGACCAATTAATAGGCAAAAAGGGAAAAGAGGAGGCTAGGGAAAAACAACTCAGAATCCATGAAAATAGAATCAGAGAAATAAGTGACACCATGAAACGTTTCAATGACAGAAATATTGGAAATCCTGGGGGGGGGGTGGAGAGAGAGACAGGACTAGAAGATATATTTGAGCAAATCGTAGCTGAGAATTTCCCTAATCTGGGGAATGAAACAAACATTCCAGTCCTAGAGGCAGACAGGACCCCTCCCAAGATCAAGGAAAACAGGCCAACACCCCAGCATGTAATAGTAAAACTCACAAATCTTAGAACCAAGGAAACCATCTTCAGGGGATTTAGGGGGAAGAGATTCCTTACGTACAGAGGGAGGAACATCAGAATAACACCAGACCTATCCACAGACACCTGGCAAGCCATAAAGGCCTAGCAAGACATATTCAAGGTACTAAGCCAGAAGAACACAGAGCCAAGAATACTTTATCCAGCAAGGTTGTCATTTAGAATGGATGGAGAGATGCAGAGCTTCCAAGACCGGCAAAAATTGAAAGACTATGTGACAACTAAGCCGGCCCAGGGTTGCAGATTGGATAAAAAAGACAGGACCCATCCATATGCTGCCTACAAGAGACTCATTTTGAACCTAAAGATACATCCAGACTGAAAGTGAAGGGATGGAGATCCATCTTCCATGCTGGCAGACCTCAAAAGAAAGCTGGGGTAGCAATTCTTATATCAAACAAATTAGATTTTAAACTAAAGACTGTAGTTAGAGACACAGAAGGACACTATATCATTCTTAAAGGGTCTATCCAACAAGAAGATCTAACAACTGTAAATATCTACACCCCCAACAAGGGAGCAGCCATCTACATAATCCAACTGTTAACCAAAATAAAGAGTCATATTGATAACAATACGTTAATTGTAGGAGACCTCAATACTCCATTCTCAGCAATAGACAGATCATCAAAGCAGAAAATCAACAAAGAAACAAGAGCTTTGAATGACACACTGGACCAGATGGACCTCATAGATATATACAGAACATTCTACCCTAAAACAACAGAATACTCATTCTTCTCGAACACACACGGAACTTTCTCCAGAATAGACCAAATACTGGGTCACAGATCAAGTCTCAACTGATACCAAAAGACTGAGATTATTCCCTGCATATTCTCAGACCATAATGCTTTAAAACTGGAACTCAATCACAAGAAAAAATTTGGAAGAAATTCAAACAGTTGGAAGTTAAAGACCATTCTGTTCAAGAATGTTTGGGTCAACCAGGAAATCAAAGAAGAACTTAAACAATTCATGGAAACCAACGAGAATGAAAACACATCGGTCCAAAACCTATAGGATACAGCAAAGGCAATCCTAAGGGGGAAATACATAGCCATCCAAGCCTCACTCAAAAAAAGAGAAAAGTCCCAAATTCACTGACTAACTCTACACCTTAGAGAATACAGAAAAAGCAACAAAAGATGCCTAAGCCATGCATTAGAAGAGAAGTAATTAAGATTAGAGCAGAGATCAATGAATTAGAAACCAGAAACACAGTGGATCAATTCAACGAAACTAGAAGCTGGTTCTTTGAAAGAATTAATACGATCGATAAACCACTTCCCAGACTTATCCAAAAGAAAAGAGAAAGGACCCAAATTAATAAAATTATGAATGAAAGGGGAGAGATCATGACTACCACCAAGGAAATAGAAACAATTATTAGAAATTATTATCAACAACTATATGCCAATAAACTGAGCAACCTGGAAGAAATGGATGCTTTCCGGGAAACCTATAAACTCCCAAGGCTGAAACAGGAAGAAATTGACAACCTGAATAGGCCAATAACCAGTAATGAGATTGAAGCAGTGACCAAAAAGCTCCCAAAAAACAAGAGTCCAGGGCCTGAAGGATTCCCTGGGGAATTCTACTAAACATTCAATGAAGAAATAATACCTATTCTACTGAAGCTGTTTCAAAAAACAGAAACAGAAGGAAAGCTTCCAGACTCATTCTATGAGACCAGCATTACCTTAATCCCCAAACCATCAAAAAGGAGAATTTCAGACCGATATCCTGATGAATATCGATTCCAAAATCTTCAACAAAATCCTAGCTAATAGGATCCAACAATACATTAAAAGGATCATTCACCAGGACCAAGTGGGATTTATCCCCGGGATGCAAGGGTGGTTCAACATTCACAAATCAATCAGTGTGATAGAACACATTAATAAGAGGAGAAAGAAGAACCATATGGTTCTCTCAATTGACGCAGAAAAAGCATTTGACAAAATACAGCATCCTTTCCTGATTAAAACTCTTCAGAGTATAAGGATAGAGGGAACATTCCTCAAGTTCATAAAATCCATCTATGAAAAACCCACAGTGAATATCATCCTCAATGGGGAAAAGCTGAGAGCCTTTCCCTTAAGATCAGGAACATGCCAAGGAGGCCCACTCTCACGACTATTGTTCAACATAGTACTAGAAGTCCTAGCAACAACAATCAGACAACAAAAAGAAATAAAAGGTATTCAAATGGGCAAAGAAAAAGTCACACTTTCTCTTTTCGCAGATGACATGATACTTTATGTGGAAAACCCAAAAGACTCCACCCCCAAGTTACTAGAACTCATACAGCAATTCAGTAATGTGGCAGGATACAAAATCAATGCAGAGAAATCAGTTGCTTTTTTATACACTAACAACGCAACTGTAGAAACAGAAATTAGAGAATCAATTCCATTTACAATAGCACCAAAAACTATAAGATACCTCAGAATAAATCTAACCAAAGAGGTAAAGGATCTATACTCTAGGAACTACAGAGCACTCATGAAAGAAACTGAAAAAGACACAAAAAGATGGAAAAACATTCCATGCCCATGGATCGGAAGAATAAACATTGTTAAAATGTCTATGCTACCCAGAGCAATCTATACCTTCAATGCCATCCCGATCAAAATTCCAATAACATTTTTCAAAGTGCTGGAACAAACAATCCTAAAATTTGTATGGAATCAGAAAAGATCCCGAATCACCAAGGAAATGTTGAGAAAGAAAAACAAAGCTGGGGGTATCACATTGCCCGATTTCAAGCTATA